TGTGAGGGCGAGGGGAGAAGCCCCTCCAGAACTGCACTCGGGTTTCTGCTCTCAATGCAGGTGATTAGAGTCTAATGGGGCTGCCGGCGTGACGGCAGGACGTGTCCACATTTGAAGGAGACGTGATTATTTTAAAGCCTGCAGGAAGGTCCTCGTGAGCGGAGCAGGGACAGATCTCTGGGAAACACGAGAGGAGAAACTCATTAAAGCCGGGATGAGTCTGAGAGGAGTCCCGATCACATCGAAGACGACAGCTCTTCAGCAGGAAATCATCAAAAACCAACAGGTTGTAACTGTCAGTCAGTTTACTTCTAATTATCTTTGATAAGATCATTTAGTTCAGGTTCAGAAGGTCCTAACATAAGACTTCACTTGTTTATCATCCATAAATGAACCTTTAAAGATAAGAGTTTGAAAATTAAATGTCATTTTTTGTAGTTTTTTTAATCCCATCACTGTGTTTGATTTGAGATAAAGATTTCTGTGAGACATTTTATCTTTTCATCACTCATGAAAGAAAACATCATCAGACCTGCTGATTTCTCATTATTCTGGTGGTTTATTTGTTTGAAATTCATCTGCAGGTGTTTTCTTATCCGTTAGGGGGCAGCAGAGAAGCAGAGAACAAGCTGAGAGGTAAAAGATGTATTTATTTCATAATCTGATGTTTTTACTTCTTTTTCTTCTACAGGTGTTTTAATAAATTTTGTAAGAGCTGTACTGAAAAAAGGACTTTATATAGATTGGTCTGAGTTATCATAATTGTCTTAATATTCAAATTATTTTATTAGAACAAAAAAAACCTGGTTTACAAAGGGTTTGACATAAAATACAGGCAGAGAAATAACAGAATACATACAGACGTGGGTAAAAACACATTTAAAGCAACTATAGGGCACCAGGTGTAAAATAAACAGTTTAAAAATGTAATCAACATTTTTAATGCTTACTCACTTTCTTACTGTTGCAAAATTACAGAAACTGTTTAATATTACACATTCTGATTAATAAAATATAGATTTCCAACCTAAAACAAACTGACCTATTTTCTAGACAATCATTTATAATTCATCTCATCTTCGTTTTGTTTTATTTTTATTTTTGCCTGGAATAAAAATCCACATCCACAAGTGCCAAAAGACTGAAATCAAATCAGTTCTGTCGTCAGTCTAGCAAAACGCTACATGCTAAAAACAAACATGACAAGCGGCTAACGCTAGCTGCTGCTAAGCCCTGCTATCTATTTCTATTTCTATCATGTTTTTTCTTTGTCTTCCAGAAGAAGGTGCACCTGGACCAGTCCTGGACCAGTTCTTCTGTTTGTCTGTGTCTCTTTCCTGTCCCTCAACCAGCCGGTCAAGGCAGATGGTCTCCTGTCCTGAGCCTGGTTCTGCTGGAGGTTTCTTCCTGATTAGCAGGGAGTTTTTCCTCTCCACCGTTTGCTCAGGATGGGAGACTGTGATGAAGTGATTCAACACACTCTGCTGCTTTCTTCTTTACATTGTTCTTTTTATGTACAGTGYCCTGAGACAACGTATGTTGTGACTTGGCGCTACATAAATAAACTTGAACTTAACGCTTCTAGCGCAGCTGAAGATGGCATTTAAATTTTTTAATTCAAAATGTGCTCATTGAAAACACCTGGACTGTACCTGTGGTCCGGCAGTTTGAAGTACAGCTCAGACACCAGCCACAACTGCACGTTTGATGTCCTGTAGGTGTTAACTAGTTCAAGCTTCAGTGTTTGTCGCAGGATGATGACATCACAACAAAAACTGCACCCCAAAGGCAAAGCTGTTCCATTGTAAATGTAAACAAAATATGACTTCTACATTTAAGATTTAACTTTGTATATTTATAATTTAATATTCATATGATTTTATAAGTTTTATAGATTTAACATTTAGTAAAAATAAGCAAAATGTAAGAACAGTGAGATAAATACTAATAAAATGCTAAAAAATTTTAACACTCAGAAAGTGAGCAAAACAATGACTTACTTATTTTATTTTATTTTATTTTTTACAGTTTGGCACCTCACAGATCTTTCAGCTGCTCTCTAATGCAGAGGTCGCCACAGTGCATGAACCTCCATGAAAGGTTTGGCAGCCTTCTTCATCAGGATGTCCTCCCTGAAGCAACCTGGACTCAAACCTGCAGCTTCAGGACGACTTAAACCGCTGCACCGATCGCCGAACCAACGCTCCGTTTGAAGCAGGAAATCTAAAAAGCAAAGGTTTGAATATTTGTTTCTAGATGTTTTGGAGTTTCTTCAAAAACTCTTCTAGTTTTAGTCCCAATAAACTGCCTGAAATAATAGGTGCGGGGTTATAGGAGGTCAAAAAGGACAAAAAGAAAACGTCTCCCATCCGGATTCAGTAATCAAGCCTTTTTGTTTTAAGTCAGGCTGACCTCAGAAGTCTTGAGCCATGCAGGTCTTTTTATTGACTGTGGTCCGGCTACCATTCTGCTTCTTTCTCTCAAACTATCGATCAGCATTTCTGTCTGCCCGCCTTCCTTAAGTCCTTTAAACCACCTCCCTCCCTCCTGTTCCTGCAGCCGCTTCCCTTCCTCACATTCTGGTATTTCCCAATAAAACATCCCCATCCTCCCCCTCCTGTCTGCCTCTCTGTCATCCCCCTCCTCTCCTCTCCTCTCCTCTCCTCTCCTCTCCTCTCC